GACAAGGTTCTTTCGTATGTCAGGCACAAACAACACATTTTGAAGTTTCAACTATTTGCCAGAAGTCATCTTTAAAATTATAGTGTCTTTCCTCTTGATCTTGGAAGTTGAAGCATTGCCCATATAGAGTTTTTCTCCTTTCACACAAGAAATCAACTCAGCAAAGGAGTCCTTTTCACAACAAATATGGTGTGTGGCACCAATATCAAGCCACCATTCTCTTAGATTTGAATCAACCAAGTTAACTTCAGAGACCACAACACATAGGTCAAGTTTAGATACTTCCTTGGAAATTTCTGTCACAACATTAGCCTCTTTTGTTCTGTACCTTTTTGGAAGCCTAGATTCGGATGGTATGTGTCCCGTTTTTTTGCAATTAAAGCATTTCCCTTGGATTTTTTGCTTCTTAGAAACATCGCCTTTTGGTCATAGTTTAGACTCAATTTGAGCTTGCTTTCTTTTCTTGAAGTTCTTTTTGACTTCCACCACATTTGCCTTGGCAATTTTATGATTGGTTGTTTTGTTTGGCCTTTTAGCCGCACATTGATTGTATTCTTCAATCCGAAGTCTCACAATCAGATCTTCCACTGTCATTTCTTTTCTCTTATGCTTAAGATAATTCTTAAAGTCATTCCAAGCAGGCAGAAGTTTTTCAATAATGGCTGCCACCTAAAATGATTCACTTATAATCATCCCTTCTGCGAGAATACCATGAATGATCAGTTGGAATTCTTGCACCTGATTCACAACAGTTTTAGAATTAACCATTACAAAGTTTAAGAATTTGGCAACTAAGAATTTTGTTGAAAACATTTTGATATTTCGATATAACAAACTAAGTTTAAATGAATTTTAAGATTTTACAAATGATTTTCTAAAGTATATTCGATTCAATTAATCGAATATCAAATTATTACTCCAAGTCTTTCAAGATCATTTCAAACCTTACTAAATGTGTAAAATTGTGTTTTATACTTAAACTATTTTTGAAACAATTTTCACAAAGTATTTTGAACCAAAATCAAGCTTAAAATCAAATTTTCAAAGTGATGCACCGATGCACCATGAAATTAATTGAACATTGAATGCATTTTATGCATCGATGCACATACCATGCATCGATGCACTTAGTGCATTTGATGCATCGATGCACTAGACCATGCATCGATGCACTCAGGCTTTTTCAAAACATCGAATGCATTTTATGCAGCGATGCACTCTTAGTGCACCGATGCACTGAGAGTCTAACGGTCAAAATATTTGAATTTTACACCGATGCACCGATGCACCTAGGGTATGCATCGATGCACTGACGCTCCCAACTGATTTTATTAATTGTTTTCACACTTAAATGGCTCTATTGACTCCACTAATCATCCCCAATGTTCAGAATCATTTGAAGGTGTATTTAAACAAGCTTAGAAGACATTGATCAAATACAAGAAACATCAAGCAACTAGAATCAAGAGAGAATCAAAGAGAAAGCATCAAAACTCAAGTTTGAGAATTTCAAGCCTATTTTTCATTCAATATTCATTTTTCTTTCAAGAACACTTATTGTGCTCAATTTTATTTATTCTTGAGTGTTCTTTCTTTGTTATAGAATTGTGCAAACATATTTGCCTTGTGAGGTTTTTCTTGTAAGTTTGCAAATTTGTAATATTCTCTTTGAGAAAAGAGTGTTCTCAAGAATTGGGGTATATTCTTGAGGGAGTTGTAAGGTTATCTCTTTGGCCTCAAAAGAAAGAACAAACTAGTGAATTTGTTGGAAAATCCTTAGTGTGGATAGCTAAGGTAGTGGACGTAGACTTTGGTTGATAAAGTCGAACCACTGTAAATCGCTGTGCAATTACTTTCAATTTTCTGCAAAAGCTTCCACCAAAATTTTTTATTGCCAATTCACCCCCTATTGGTCGATTCCATCGATCGATTAACTCAATAAATTTCTTAGCACCAGCATCTTCAGTTTTGTATTTATAGTCCAATGATTCTCATAGTTTCTTAGTCGTTTTCTTTACGTTGTATACTTCATAAAGTGCATCAGATAAACCATTCAAGACGTAGTTACGACATAGGAAATCAGAGTGCTTCCATGCTTCGGTAATGTTGAATGCGGTTGCAACATCCACTTCATCCTCTCTAATAGTAGTAGGATCATCCTTAAAAAATTTGGCCATATTCAATGTCATAAAATAAAACAACATTTTCTGTTGCCATATTTTGAAATTCTCTCCATTGAATTTCGTAGGCTTTTCATTATGACTCATGGTCATAGGCATCGTTTGGCTCGCAGCCTGAGTTTGTGTAGCGACAATCGCATTAGATTGTGAATTGGATGAAGTATCAGACATTTTTCTGTAATCGAAATCAAAACCGAAATAATAAATATAATATGAAATGAAATATATATTAACCTAAATATATTACCACAGTAATCTGTTTGAGTTTAGATTGAACTACAACACAAGGAATCTGTCTTAAGATTGTTGCAAAATATTGAAAAATAGGGTTGTAGTATTATAATCTAAAATTTTCGTTTCAATAATAAAGTTTAAAAAATGTGAAATTAAAATAGAACCTGGAATCGGATGGAACTGAATAAATAGAAGAAGAGTTTTGTTGAGGCCTGACCAAACAGTCTCCTTAAGATAGATTCGTCATCTCCTCGGTGCTTTGAGTAACGTTGGACGTCAGTCTCCTAGGATACAACAACAAATGTTCACAACAGTAAGCACAACCGAAGTGAACAATCGAACACAATCTTTATCTTTATCTATCACCGGAAAATGACTTTGGAAGAATCGGAGAATTGAAAAGAAAGTATTTGAAAGAAAAATAGTAAAAAGTTTTTGTGTTGAGATGTGTCACAACTTAGCCTTTATATAGGGAGAATAATTTGTATTGAAATGTTTAGACCTTTAAATGAAATGACTTAACCATTTGATTAAAAATAATAACATTTTGATCAAAATGTTAACATGAAAAGACATGACTATTGGGGTGAAATGAAATAACTATTTTTCATGAAAAGACTTAATTATTTTTTATGAATAGTCATGATCAATTCATTCATATTTTCCCAACAATTAATAATTTAATTCTAAAAACCAAATAATTAAACACCGAGATAATTATTTTTTTATTTGATTTTATAACAGTATATAGAAATAGTTCTGTCGTTGAATTGTATTAATGCCAATAATTTGATTAAAATAAAAAAGAATAATTTCATTTTTCTACAAATATTACAACTAAAAGAAAATTAAATAATAAGTAGATTCAAACGTACTTCATGTGCACGAACACCAATGATTTTAATAGTAAATAAATTATTATTATTTTTTGAAGTTTTAAGTTCGAGCACCAAAAATACTAAAGATACGAGTTTTTAATGTTAAAAGGTCGAGAGTTATCTTTAAATACATCTTACCTTATACTTATCCTAAATTAATAAAAAAAATTACTCTTTATATTGTCGCACGTGTCTTATTGGAAAACTTCATAAAAAGCTAACGTTTTCTAAAATATATTATTCTATACATTGAATGGTCAAATAAATATTTAAAGTAGATGTTAATTAATTAAAATACCTTTAACTATAATAAAATATTAAATGGTCATGTTCTATAAAATAAAATTTTAAAATTCAAATCTTGTTTGAATCATAGATAAAATTCTCAGTAAAAATTATTTTTTAATAATTTAATGTCAAATTATTTAATCTATTGATCAATTAATTAAAAGTATATAATATAAATATTAATTCTAAACTATAATTTAAATTTAATTTATTTCGTGAGAATTTAAATCTATAATATTATTTAAAAATATAATATCTCATTTTGTTAAATATGTCAATTTAAATATATTAAAAACATTTAAAAATATGAGTTGGACTCAAATTACTGACCACATAAATTGAAAGACGAGGTATGAACATGTTTAGTGATTATTCGGGGAGGGTGCTGACTTGTCGTAATCCACCGCTAAACCGACGGCTCGAAATTCAAACCAATAAAAATAAGACCAAATAATAGTTAGATTAGTGATCACTAAACTATCACTTTTTTATTTTGAGCACTGAATTATTATTTAGTAAAAACATCACTAATGTTATTTAACGGCAATATCGACATAATATTCATTTTTATGTCCTTTTCTCTCTCTTTATCAAGTTATCATGTTATTTTTTTAATAATGTTATTTGATAAATTAATTAGTAATATATATCATTGTATTATTGTTGGAATAAAACCAAAGATCCAACGTAAGAGGTCTACTATTTCGCTACTCAATTAGACTAGACATTTATTATAATTTTATCAAAATTTATATTTAAATGTTCCGCTATCGACTGTAGTGTCCTTACTTCAGCAGGACCTCTGGGAAATTCCTAGAACTATTTAGCTTCTGATGTTTTCACTTCTTCATTCAAAACAAAAATATTTCACTAAAATTATTATTTAAGTTAAATTATATCCCGACCTTAAAATCATGTCAAAATGTTATTAGGAGGAATTAAATATAAGATGTGGGAATAAGAATCTTGGATTTGAATTCTCTCTACAATGCAAAAACTTAATTTTATTGGTTTTAATTGAAAATTTTAATTTTATGACTAAAATAGAAAATAGTTAATAATTTGATGAGTAGTGTTGTAGTTTATCTACAAGTCATGCAGATAGATCAAAACATGCCATCTTATTACACGAATATCGAGGGAGGGCCATTTGTTTTGGGACACAAAAATGAGCCAGCTTCCGTCCAAAACAAATAGCGTAAGCAGTGACAAAATCACGCCACATGTTGGATGTCGACACGCACGCACTTCACTTCCATGTCCTCCACGTGTCCTCTTCTCCCAAAAGCACCCCAACAGTCAAGTTGATTCTAGAACCACTCTACCCCTCTCCCCTCGCCACGTGTCCCTCTTTTCCTCCTATAAATTCCTCGCTCTTACTTATGGTGTAAGTTTCAAGCGCCGTCACCACAAACAAGAGAGAGAGAGAGAGGAGGGAAAAAAAGTTACTGGTGAAGGTAAAAAAAAAAAAAGAAATGACTGCGGCAGAGTTACAGCTACAGTTACCTCCTGGTTTTCGGTTCCATCCAACGGATCAGGAGCTGGTGATGCACTATCTCTGCCGTAAATGTGCGTCGCAGCCGATCGCCGTCCCTATTATAGCCGAACTCGACCTTTACAAATACAATCCTTGGGATCTGCCTGGTAAATTTCTATTTATTCTTCTAAAACCTTACGTTTTTTATAATTTAAATTGAATTTATTGGATTTTTTTTATTTAGTTTTGTTCTTTGGATTTACAGATTTGGCTTTGTACGGGGAGAAAGAATGGTATTTCTTTTCGCCGAGAGACAGGAAATATCCGAACGGTTCAAGGCCGAACCGTGCTGCTGGGTCTGGGTACTGGAAGGCAACCGGGGCTGATAAACCGATTGGGCAACCGAAACCGGTCGGTATCAAGAAGGCTTTAGTGTTTTATTCTGGAAAAGCTCCGAAAGGAGAGAAAACTAATTGGATTATGCATGAATATCGGTTAGCCGACGTCGACCGGTCGGTTCGCAAGAAGAACAGCTTAAGGGTACAATTCGTACACTTTCTCTCGTCACTGGGTAAAAACGTGGGGTTAAACTGGAGATTTACATGCATGATAAGATTTTGGACAGGGGACTTGTAGGCCTCAATGACCGTTATGACCTCATCGTACTTGAAAAATTACAGTGTGGTCCATTAATTAGTTTTGCATCTCACCTGCATCCAATAAATCTCCCGATAACCAAATTATTACTTTCCATAAATTATTGAATATTTAAATCCATCGAATTTTAGACGATAATTTATTTATTTTTTATTTTTCAGTTGGACGATTGGGTGTTGTGCCGGATATACAACAAGAAAGGTTACATCGAGAAACAACCGCCGCCGCAAGGGAGCGTTACGAAAGAAGCTTGCACGACGGAGATTGAGGACAGGAAGCCGGATATCGGGACAGTCGGCAAGGGCATGTGTGGTTTGCCGCCGTCAGCGACGGCGACGTGTAACGATTTCATGTATTTCGACTCGTCGGAGTCGGTGCCGAGGGTCCAGACGGAATCCAGCTGTTCGGAGCACGTAGTGTTGCCGGAGTTCCCAAATGAAGTTCAAAGCTTGCCCAAATGGAAGGACGAAATGGGAAGTGCCGCCGACAATAATGTCCTCGATTCTCTTTATAATTACATGGATGCCACTCAGATGCAAGGTAGTAATAATGAGCTGTCGCCGCTCCAGGATATTTTTATGTACCTGCAGAAGCCATTTTAGAGGTGGGAAATGGATCGAGGAAAAACCAGTGTGTTTTGGCGTATTGCTGGGTAACACGAGACTGAAAGTCCATGAGTGTACCTGTGGGCGTGCGCGTAGATAAACATTTAAAAAGAAGTTAAATAGGGTCGATCCAAATTGGAAGATCTCACCCAAATTTTGTTTGTTGTTTTATAAATATAATAATCTTTAATCTTATTGTTTAAAAGCATGGGTTGCACATATTATTTTTGGTTTTACGATAATCATGATTACTTAATAATATAGTTAGTTTTTTAATCAATAATAATTTAGTATTTACCCATATCATCTTTAAAAATAGGGTAAAAATTTAAAAATGGTTTCTCATATTGATTTGTTAGATTTTATTATTATTTAATGTTATTTTTTTTATTAAAAGTTATGAAATAATTTTTTAATTATAATGTATTGTTTTATTAATTTTTTCAATTAAGAATTAATGGAATTTTAATTAGAAGTTAATTTATTAATTAAAATATGATAAAATTTAGTTTCAAATTTTAAAATATTTTAGTTAATAGAATAACTTTTAAGTTTATATTATCATAAAAATTTTAATAAAAAATCTTAAAAGTTTAAACGATTATCATATGTCGAATTAGATTAAATTATTTTAAATGATTATTTAATAATTTTTAATTATCGATAAATTCAATAAAATAATATCTTATAATTAAGATATTATTTTATAATTTTTATTAATTAAGAGATTCTACAAAAACAATTAGCTGGTAAAAGTTTTATGGGCCTATTTTTGGGCCTTGAAAAGTACCATCGGTTCATATATACAGTATTTTATTCCACCAATGAACTTTAAATTATACCACATATCTTAAATTAGTTTTCGAACTTAAATCGAGTATAGTATTAATTGTTATTTTTTATTTTGTATTTTAAAAATTTTATTTAATTTTAATGAGTATATTTAAAATATGTGAATAAATTGTGACAATGTAAGTATGATGATAGTTTAGATAATGATATACAAAAAACAATCATAAATTGTAACAATTTTATTTTTAAAAAACACATTAAATTTAAATTGTTTTTAACTCTTTTATCTTTTAAATATTTTTCTAATGCATCATATTTTTTTTGAATATTTATTTAAAATGTTTTAAATCTTAAAAGACCTATTTAAAATTTTAACTATATTTTAAAAACATTTAAATGAAATTAACTATATTATATATTGTTGTCGGGGTTGACGAAGCAATATCAAATACATACCTAGAAAGGTAAGATGTTGAAATTCTGATGTTTACGAATTGAGCAAACTGAATTAGCTGGTGTTGAAATGATTTTTTAAAAATAAATTTAATTTTTAATTAGATAATTAAGTGTGATTTTAAAAAATCTCATTTCGATTAATTTGGTGTTTCCTTTTTAAAGTTAAGAAAAGGTTCAAGGAGTCGCCACCAATATTTGATTAGGGTGTAATTAGGCACCCAAAAATATTTGTCGTTTTAATAAAAAATATTAATTTTAATTAAAACAAAAATTTTACGATCTGCATTACCAAAAATTTTAGTTCAAGAGTCGATTACATGTGGGAAAGGATTATCACCCCCACAACGCCCTAAATCAGTACATAGTCGATTAATTAATTGTCTTTGTAATGAAATCTACAAGTTTGAATTTAATTTAGTTTAATATCCCTTCAAATAATATTCTTTGAATTTTAGAACAAAACATAATAATATTTAATTATTTCATATAGATAAGAAACGACCTCTCATACCTTGAGGTAGTCAATTCCTACTCTAATCGAAATAAAGAAATACTACATTTCTATTCTAAAGTTCAAATGTATGAATGATAATAAAACAAAACAAGTTAAATTAAAAATTACCAATCCTTTTAAAAAGATGAAGGATATTCTATTATTTAAATACGTCGAGATCGGACATTTTATAAGTTCTAACAATCTTTTCTTGAAGAATTTAAATAGACGAACATTTCTTTTTCTCTCTTACTCAAATTTTAAGTTTGATCAATTTTTAGGTTTTTCACTTAATAGATTACAATTTCATTTTAAAATTGTCGAAAGTAACTTTCTTATACCTTAAGACAATCACTTCACAACAATCATAAAATGAAAGGGTACTACCCTTAATCCAATTATTTGATGTGGTTAAGTAATGTTCATGATGGTGTTGCACATGTTAATTTTGAAAGAATTAAGTAAAACTTAAATCTAAATGTACAAACAAACATGCTTATATAAACACATAAAAATGAATTAACATAATATTTTAACTAGATTAAATTAAATAAAATTTAAAAGCATGCATAAACCTAACTTAACAATATTCAATACCATATAAATTTCACAACATGCCACATTAAACTTGGCCTGTATAAGGATAAAAATAAATCGTGTATATATGCACATATAAACGATAATGGTCTTGAATTAAAATGTAAAAAAATGGCAAGTCAAAATACAATTAACTAAGACTAAACATATTTAGTAAACTATGGACTAAATTAAAAGAAATCTAAATTTGAGGACTAAATCTAAAAGATAAAGTAATCTAAATTAGGACTAAAATATTTGAAATCTAAATCTAAGGATTCAATTTAAAATCAAAGTTCTAGGACCAAATTGAAGAAAATTTAAAAAAGAACAAGATTAAAAGCAATTAACAAATATAAAGGGAGTAAATTGAAATAAATTTAAAATATAAGGTTGAAATTAAAATTCATTAAATAAAGGAGAAAATAAAAGAAAATAGAAAATAAAGTGCAAAATCAAATGAATGAAATGTAAATGCTGAAATTTAAAGGTTGAAATTAAAATAACAAAAATTTATAGGGCAAAATTATAAATAAGAGAAAATAGATCAACCGAATAAGATTATAAGTTAGGGGTGAATCATACCCCAGGACGAGTCATCGTGAGGTCGTAAAATGATTCGAACATAAATATAAAAAATTAACGACTAATGGTTAATAAATTAGCAAAGTTAGTGGTTAGTGGTTAATAAATTAACAAAGTTAACGGTTAAATTAGAATTTTAACTGTACCACAATAATGTGGATCGTACCCCAAGGAGGGTCACTACAAGGTCGTATTAAAGTTTAATGTTAATAATTTAAATATAAAGCATTAAAATGTAAAATAAAACAAAGAAATAGGCAAATTATAAATAATTTAGTGACAGAATGCAATAAAAAAGGAAACAATGTCAATATTAAAATAAAGTAACAGAAATAAAAGTGACCAAAATAAAATGAAATAAAATAGACGGCTAAAATCAGAAATAATTAAAACCAGAGGGGAGAATGGTGACCTAAATGCTAAATCAAGCATAAATTCGGGGGACTAGAGCGTAAATAAACTAAAACATTTAATATAAACCTAAATTAAAGGATTGTTTGTTTGCCTCCTAATGGAACCATTCAGTGCTGAATGCTGAAATGTTCAGCATTCAGCACGTTTGTTTCGCACCTCTGAATGATTCAGTACTAACTGATTAAGCAAAATAATGTTGAATGATTCAGTAAAACAATGCTGAATGATTTAGCAAAACAGTGCTGAATGACAGAAGTACATTCTGAATGATTCAGAGTCATTATCAAACAGTATGCCACATTCAGAGCTAATTCATACATAGCCTCTTAATCGTTCAACATTTGAATCATTCAACGCTTAATCATTCTGAAATAAACAAACAACCCCTTGATTTTTATCCTAAACTAAAACAAAACATGCCCTAGTTTTTTTCTTCTTTCTAGCTCCTCTCATTCTCCAAAACTCAGTCGCCGCACCCAAGCACTCAAGGCCTTTCCACGGCCGACCATAAAAAATCGGTGGCCTTCCTCAGCTTCGACTACCGCTAACACTAACGGTGAAGGCCGCGCGTTGGCCTACTCGCCCAGAACTCTTTCTTCTCCTCTCCAAACGTAGCCGAGAATTCCAAACGCCAAACCCTCCATCGCCAGCCACCGCTACATGCAAGCTGTAAATCGGTACTGCTACAAGTCCCGACCACTACCAACGGTTGTAGGTTGAACCTAGATATAGACCTAAAATAAAAAAGGCCTCTCCTTTATTGTTTTAAACCCCTTAAAACCGAGACCAAAGCCTCTTTCCTCCTCTCTTAAACGAACTGGACCGAAACCCAACCCTGATAGCCAAACCGACTCCCCAAACAGCCAAATGGCCACTGACTCCTAGCTACCCTGATGACTTTACTCCGACACTCAACCAAGATAAGCTCTCTCCTTCCTCTCTTTTACCCTGCTTTGCAACAAGAAAGAAGAAAATGACATTGATAAAGAAAAAAAGGAACCTTGAAATGCTTTATGTTTTTCTTATTTGCTTAGGTTCTCTCCTTTTTGGATATGGGAATATTATAATTTTTTTGTGTTTTTTCGAATAGGATAGGGAAATATTACATTTTATTGCTGCCCCTCTTTATTTCGGGGAAGAGAACACCATTCAACATTGGTTTGTTTTTGGGTTTTTATATCACCCCTTTTACAGATGAAAAAAAGAAAAAGAGATCATTTTTACAATTTCCTCTTTGTTTGTTTGTTTCTGCATGATCCTGACGAGGCTTAGGGAGGAGGTCGTTTTTTTGCTTGATGACAGCTGGCGTGGACGCATGAAGGATAAGGGGACAACTGGCTGCTGCTGTCATGGAGCGGGTCGTGGAGAATGGACCACTATTGTTCGTTGTTCACGTAGGATGTTGGGATGCTTCGCAGCGACAGCTGAAGGGTTACAACAACAAAAAACCCTAAACTTTGTTTGGGTTTACGTACGAACTTAGAGCTTGAGTGGGTTTTAGGGTTAGTTTAGGTTCCATGTAATGGGTTTTAATGGGTTTGTCTTTTATTTAGTGGTTGGTTGGTTGTAAGTGGGATTTTGGTTAAATAGGATTGGGGCTGAATGTAAATGGACACTTGGATTAATTTTTGGTAATGTATGGGTTGTATAATGGACAATGGTCATTTCAATTTGGACACTTAAATTTGAATATTTAACTTGGGTATCAAATGTTTGGACTTGAATTTAAACTTTAAATTCAAAACTAAGCATGTTTGGTCACCAAACCCAAATAAAGGTTCAAAATTTCTAAAA